ACACACACACACACACACACACACACACACACACACACACACACACATAAACACACACCAAAGAGCTGAGAGCCTCCTACAGGTTGGATTTTTTTTAAGTTCTGTTACTTTTTCCTTCCCCATTTTTCTGTTTTTCTCTTCTTTCTAGATCAAGTATATGGAATTGACAAAAAAGGGAAGGGTGTTTCGATTAAAAACCAAAACCAACAGCAAGAATATTTTCCAGATTTGGTCCCTGTCAAGGTTGACAGCATCTAGGAGAGGACAGAGAGTGTGTGAGTGTATTTCTGGTGTCCACCTGCTGTTTCAGGTACAAAGAGCCACGCCAGATGTGTTTGTGTTTGTGGGCACTGACAAGAATGCACGGAGCCACAGGCCAGGCTCCCGAGGTTACTGCTGTTGACCATCCACTCTGTCTTTTCTGGCCAGCCGTGTAAACATGCCAGGCTCCGTACCACACACGTGGATAAAGGATGGTCTCTACCAGATCCAGACCTCCTAACAGTGGCCCGGTCACACCCCCCAGACGCTGGGAGCCATCACACAGGATTCAGACTGACAGGGTCCCACTCAGCACATGCAGCGACTTCCCCTGTAGGGTCTGTGGTATGAGACCCAGGCAGGCAGCATACAAGGGGACAGAGAGAGCCACGTCCCTCTCCGAAAGGGCTTTAGGAATTGGTCCAGCGCGAAAGAGGAGGTGGGGGCGGGGGGGTGGGGGGGAACCACGGGGCTTCCCCCCAGCAGGCCCCAAAGACAGGGCCCTTCCTCCCAGGGGCTGCTGCCCCTGCTTCGGTGCCCCTGTCCGTCCCTGGGAGCCCAGCGTGGATGATAAAACTCATCAGCTGGAACGTACCCGCTGAGCAGGCGTGCAGCAGAGGTGCAGCTCGCACCAGTGGTCTTGGTCGGGGTGGTGGTAGCTATGCCGAACCCGGCCACCCGAGCTGAGCCCCAGAGTGCAGTGGTAGCCGTTGGGCACGCAGCGGAGGGTGTGCGACTGGGAGGTCAGAGAGGACACATAGGAAGTCCGGGAGGAGCGGCCTGAGTTGGTGGCCACAGCCTCCTCGAGGGTAAGCGTATCTTCGGGCTGGGTGCGGGCAGTGTTCTCACTGTCCAGACGCTGCCCCAAGTAAGGGTCAGAGCTGATCCTAGAGCTGGCGGCCAGGGGCTGGCTGAGGGGGTCTCTCTGGAGCAGAGCGTTGTGTTCGGAAATGACACGGCTAAGCCGGCCCGGGGAAAAGGTGGGGAGGCTGCTCTGTGCCCCAACAAAGTGGACAGGCAAAGATCGGCCATCTTGTAGGTGACACTGGGACAGGGGGTCAGCGAAGTCTGGGGGAGCTGCCTCCGCCCACCACGGCCAGGGGTGCTAGCACCGGATGTTGGCAACAAGGGGCTCCCATTCACTGAACCACCACCCAACAAGAAAAGAGAACAGAGAAAAAAAAAAAAAGCAAAGTCCCAGACCAGAGGCCAATGCAGGTGAGAACCATGGAGGTGGGGGTGAGGCATGGAGAGAGGCAGGCACCCTGGGAGGGGAACCATAGGGTGTGTGGTGGTGGGGAGAAAGCCGCTGGTGCGGGTAGGCCTGGGGAGGTGGTTGGGGAACAGTGGGTAACAAAGGGAGAGGCACAGCTCAGGGAGAAGGGAGACCAGAGGCCAGTCCAGGGCAGTTGGGAGGGGAGGATCGTGCTGGTGCGGGAGGAATGGAGCAAGGAAGGGGGGAGTGCAGACTCGGGCCTGGGAACCAGGACATGAAGGAGGATTCGGAGCATTGTGGAGGGGGGGCTCGTAGGAGGGGCAGTGAGGGGGGTCCTGTCTTACCGGTCTCAGGGGTCCTGGCTCCTGCCCAGCTGTTGGTGACGTGAGGTGGCTGCTGAGGGAGGGTTTGGGCTGCAAGGGTTCCCAGCCCCCAAAGCGGTCACAGGAGTAAAAACGCTGCTTCTCCGAGGAAGAGGAAGAGGGCTGCCTCCACTCTTGGGACCGGCCCCGCTCCTGTCTGCGCTCCCTCCGGCAGCCTGTGGGCCCCTCTCCTGGGGGTGGGCCTGGCCCTGAAGCACTGCTGGGTGCTGGCCAGGAAGAGGGGAAGTCAGCACAGTGAGCCAGGTGGGGAGACAGACCCCCAGCCCAGACCTGGTCCCCAGGGCCAGCAGGGGGACCCAGGGGGAGAGCTGAGGTGCATGGGTGATCCTGCCTGGTCCCCAGACCTGGGACTCACAGCCCCCTACTCAGGGCCCTTTGGATGGTGGAGGCACAGAAAGGAATGCCTCAGGCCCTGGCCATAGGAGGGACCCCCGCACACACCGCCATCTGTGTCTGCGACAGGCTGGGCCCCTTCTCCAAGGACTTCTGCTTCCTGTCCCTGCGGCAATGGCAGCGGTGGTGGTGATGGGGCGCAGCCTGGCTGGCTGGGGCACGGTCCAGGGCAGCGCTGCAGAGATGAGCCACGTGGGGACGCTGGGGCGCCAGTGTGGAGATGGAGCGCTTCATGGGGCTGGCGTTGGGGGCCGGCGGCGGGTGGGATGTGGGTTGGCACACAGTCTGAGAGAGGGGCCTGGGGCAGGCTCCAGGCCGGCACTGAAGGCCTGGGGTTCAGGAACCACCAGGCCCCTCCCTCTCCCCAGAAAGCTCTTCCCCACCCAGGCCCACCCTTTCTCCCATAGCACGCTGCACAAGGTGCTGTCCGTCTCTGCCAGCGGGGTCCAGAGAGCTGTTGGTCTCCCTGTCCCTGGGGGACAGGGAGGATGCCAGGAAGAGGGAGGCTGTGGGCCTGGCTGGGAGAACCCTGAGGGGTGGCTGCGTGTGATGGCTCTGCTGGGCCAGGGCCATGGGGCTCCTGCCCTGGGCTGAAATCGGGACCTGCGGAAAGGGGCCCTCCAAGAGGAGCTGACCCAGAGATTCCACTCGGCGTCCTCAAGCTGGCCGCCCAGCGGGCCAGGCTCAGGAAGGGGAAGAGGGCGGGAGCCACCACCAATGGGAGGCAGAGACAAGTTTAGAGAATGAAGTCATTTGGAATGTGCAGAACCAGGAACCACAAAAGGAGGCAGGGACAGGGCCAGCCCCAGGCAAACACTGAAGGTCCCAGGCTGGAGGACATGCCACTCTAAAGCCCCTCACCATCCCAGGAAGTGAAAGCAGGGCCCCCTGACACAGCCTCAGGTCTGCAGGCCCCTCTCTGAGCCCTTGTGAATGAGCCCACAGCCCCCTAGCCCTGGAGCTTCCTGCTCGGTATTCAAAGCATCCCCGAAGGAGCAGGGGATGGAGGTGGTGCCGCCTCCAGAGTCCAGAGAAAGAACAGGGCAGGTCGGGCACCTGGGTGGCTCAGTCGGTTAAGTGACTGCCTTCGGCTCAGGTCATGACCCTGGAGTTCCAGGATAGAGTCCCGCATCGGGCTCCCTGCTCAGCAGGGAGTCGGCTTCTCCCTCTGATCCTCCCCCCTCTCATGTGCTCTCTCTCTCTCATTCTCTCTCTCAAATAAAATAAATAAAATCTTTAAAAGAAAAACGAACAGGGCAGGTCATCCCCAGAACATCGATGGGGAAAAGGGAGGACCAAGCTGTGAGGCACCATGTGCATGGCGAGGGGGCCGTGGGGGGCAATGCAGGCTGGCGTGGGAGAGGGATGTCCTAGAGAGAGGGAAAGTCTGGGTCAGGGACACTGGGCTGGGAGATGGAAGCCCCAGGGCCACAGCAGGAGGCTGAGCACAGGTGGGTGGTGGGGATTCTTGGCAGGCCTCCGAGGACTCTGGCTGCACCTCTTGAGACCATCATCCAGGGAGCTCCCAACAGGGCTGACAGTGTCCAGGCCGCAGGGCAGGTAGGGAGCCTTCACGCGGGACATAAGCTCTCCCCAAGCCAGGTCTCCTCATCCCCCACTCCCCCACCCTCCCGTGACCCTGACCCGCCCATACCACCAACCTGAGTCTCTGCAGCCGGGCGAGGCATGGAGGCCGCTCGGCCCTGGTTCTCAAGTCCAGGTTGGGGCTCCCCGTCAGGACCTCTCAGGGCCATGCTCTGCATCTGGACGTCCACAGCCTGGGCACATAGCAGCCCGCAGTCACACCAGCCCCCACCCCACTCTCACCTTCTTCCCCATCCTGGGCTCCCTGCCACATTCCTGCCATCTCCCACCATCCCTGTCTCACCCCAATCCTTATCTCATCCCCCATCCCCAGCCTGACTCCCCAGCCCTGGGAGCCCTCACCAGTTTTCCTGGCTGCACCAGGATCTCTGTAGAGTGGCCACACTCCAGGGGTGTCCTTGCCTCATAGGGTACCTCCTGGGTCCTCTGAGTACCCCAGGAAACAGACTCCTTGATGCCACTCTCCTGGGTTTGTCTGTAGAGAAGAGAGGATTGTGCTCTTGGCTCAGAGTTCTGTGGGCCTTGGAATGCCCACCAAGGACCTGGCTCCAACCTGCCAGGAACCTATACTGGCCCCTTCTACTCTGGGTTAGAAGCAGCCCAGACACATGAGGCCCTTCAAGTACAGGCTCTCAAGTGGCCACACAGCAAGGGATGTGGACCCAGTACCAGGGCTCAGAGCAGATGGGCAGAGAGGGCCCCTGGACATGAGTCCGAGGGAGGTCTGGGCCCACCGCTTCCTGGTCTAGGGACACCCGGCATGTTCCTCGGCCCTAGACAGGGCCTCCCAGGAGTAGTGGGAGGCCACATGTTCACAGCATGCATGACTCAGAGTGTGGACATCCTGTCTACGCTGGTGCAGAGCAAGCCCTGAGCACTACGTTAGGGGCAGTGGAGTACTCAGGAAAACCTACCTGATTAACCGTCCAAGACCCACAACCAGGCTGCAGAAAAGAAGTCCAAACATGTACAGATGAGGAGGAAATCAGGAGCCTTAAACATGTATGCTGTGCCCAGCCTGGTACCAGGCCCCACACCTTAGCCCTTGCTGGATGAGGCAGAGCACAGGCCCCCATCTTTGGGCTCAGCCAATGATTTCCTTTAGCCAATAGGGTGTTAGCAGACCTGGGACCCTGCTGGGCCTGAGGGGAGTGGCTGAGAGGAGCCTGCCTGCTACCACCCCCCAGCGATACACGGTGCAAAACAGGTACATGACTGTTAGTTTGCAACACTTGGTTTTGGGTGGTTCATTACCAAGAATTATTGTGGCAAGAGTTAGGGGTTAGGTAACAAGGACGTTACCAATTTGTCTATAAAATACAGTAGCTTAAGAAATCACTACTGGAATGGAGATCTGAGGAAAAATGTCTTAGAAGAGTTAGGGAGACGAGACACACACAGGCCGTCAACAGAATGGGGTCGAAACAAATCATTTCTCAACGGACAGTGAGGAAGCGGAGGCAGAGGCCCCTCACCGGAAAGGGAAATGGGCACGCACAATGGGAGGTGACAGTGGGAACCACCGACTGTCTAAATCCACTGACCTTAGTGCCATCAGAGGCACTTGTGTAACGTTTCGGGAATTAACTTTGGAGTCCACCATAGACCGCTCCAGCAGCACGCCTGGACTAGCTTTCAGGCAGCATCTGCCGGGAACCATTTGGGGGGAGGTGGGCATGGGGTGGAACAGAGAGGCCAGTCTCCCAAAGTGGTGATGGGACCTGAGGGCTCCAGGTCCTGCAGCACAGCCTACAGGGAGCCCCTCTGGGAGGGGGAGAAACCAGGAGTCCTGCCTCCTCCATGCACCTCGCACCCTGGCCAGGTACTCACATGGCCCCGCCGTTGCTGAGGGATGCAGAGCTCTTCTGCTGAAGGAAAACCCAGGCTCCTCGGAGCACAGCCAGCTGTGTCTGCTCCAGCATGGCCTTCAGAGGGTGGAACAGGGACACAGGGCCCATCTGTAGAAGGGACTCAGGGAAGAGGAAGAGCTCTAAGGGCAGAGACAGGTGTGCCGGAAAGCTGGCCTGACCCCACAGCATGGGTTGGTGCTCCTTCTGCCCTGCCCCAGCCCTACATTGGAGGTAGGTGGGGACTTACCCCAAACCTGGCCTGTGAGTGACATCAGGAAAGTCATTTCACTTCTTGGAGCTTCAGTTTCCCTATCTACAATCTGGGGACCTCATCCAATTACACATGGTAAAAAGATGTCATCTCATCATCAACTTGGATTGATGGGTAGAGGCTGCATGAGCCCCGGACTGAGCAGAATTCTAAGGACATTTCAGGGCTCAGGGGGTGGCGGGGGGGCACTGATGGGTGTCTGCAACAGACAGGGGAATGGGGGATGTGGTGTGGGCATCAGATACTTCCCATCCCACAATGGGTGAATGTCCCTGTAAGCTCCGAACACCAGGCAACTTTCTAGACAGAGTCTATGTATGGCCACTGATGGTTTGCCGGCATAGGAAAGTTGTTATCTTTGAAGGATGACATCGGGAAGATGGGGCCCCAAACCAGCCCAGTCAGAGTCATGAGTGGAAGAAATCATGACCCTGGACACATCAGTTTGAATTTCTCCGGTCCCTGCCAATGTGCACGGTAATCAGGTTCTCATCGAACCTCCCCAAACAACCTCCTCAAATATTCTTCAAACTTTTTTCTTCTACCAATTCAAAAAGTGGTATCTCCAGGGAACAGGTCCGCACCCCTTGTCTACTGCTCCTGAACACTAGGTCTCCATGTCAGGGGGCCCCCAGTACCAGCAAGAGACCAGCCGTTGGAAAGCATACAGGCTGTATGGAGTTTCTGACTTCGGGGCCGGAGAGTGAGGCTACAGTAAGAACCTCTCATCTTCCTTTTCCCGCCGTGCAATCCCCAGGAAGGATGTGGGTTTCCTCTGCCGTCCAAACAACTGACGGGTGCCAGAGTCTGAGGTTTACTTCTTGGAAATCCTGGAACTCGGTACCTGGGACAGGCCTCCCGTGGCCTGGTGAATCTGGGCTCTGGAGGTCTTGTTCTGTTTGTAGAAGTCAAATATCATCAGAGCTGCATAAACCTTTCCTACGGTCATCTCATCGGCTGGAGGGAGAGAAAACAGAGGGTGGAGTGTGGAGGAGGAAGGGGAGGTGGGGGGCAAGGGAACAGCCTCCACCACAGGGACTCCTGGACATGCTCAGGGAAGGGCACAGGGCTTGGCCGAAGTTGCATCTTTGGACACTGAGCACGTGTCCTCTGGAGCTGTACTGACTCTCCACAGGGCCCTCCATCTCCTCCCAATGAAGTGGATGTGGGGTTTAATCTTTAAGCACCTCATCTCTAACTGTAGGAGTCTCCCTGCTGTTCTCTGGATTTTTTTTAAGTATACACCCCACCAGGAACGTGGGTGACTGTGGTCAACAGAATAAATCCCAGGAATCCCTTCCCACAGTCCCTATGCACCCACTGGTAAGACCGTTCTCCCTGCAGGTGGAAACTAAGTCTAGACTATTGACGAGGTCACCCTGGCCCAGGCCTCCTGGCTCTGCCTCTGGGAGGGACAAAAAAGGGGGGGTGAACAAGGAGAATTTCTTGCCCTCACTTACGTTTATGGGGTGGCACCAGTAAATCCAGGGTCTTCTGGGGCAGATTGGCCCACACAGAGGAAATCTCCTTCCTCAACTCTGCATCACACTGATGCTGCTTGGTGCCGGCTGGGGCAGGACAAGGGTGTGGAGGGGAAGAGAGATGTTAGGAGCTGTCTAACGGGCCCCCTGGGGGAGCCGGCAGGGAGAGATGTGGTGTGAGGGGAAACGGGGCAAGGACAGTGCCAGGAGAAAGGGCAGAGCGGGGAGAAGCACGGCCACGGCGGCTTTCAGAGCGTCCCTGATGGGCACGTGCAGAGACAGAGGCCTGTGTGCGTGGGCCCTGGGAGTGGAGAAGGGATATGGTGGTGGTCCAGCTGTTCATCCAGCCATTCAAAACTATCAAGTGAGCACCCTCCCGTGCCAGGGACTATTCTAGGTGATGGAACAAAAGCAAAGGAGTCGTCTTTGTGGCACCATGTGGCTTGACTCAACAATACAGTGGCAGTAAGTTCAAAACCTAGTGTGTTGGGTGCAGAAAAAGCTTAAGTAGGGAGGGATGAGAAATATTAGGAGGGCTGAAATTTTGGACAGGGTAGTCAGAAAAGGTCTCATGAGAAGGTGGTGTGTGTGTAAGACCCCGAAGGCAGAAAAGGACCAGGGGCTGCAAAGGCCTTGGTGTGTCACACAACCAGCCAGGAAGGCAAGTCTCACTGAGCAGGGGGTGGGGGTGAGGGGTTGCAGGGAGCAGATGTTGAGATAGGAAGCAGCAGAGGGTGATAAGCAGAGGGATAAAATACTCTGATTGATCTGTTTTTAGCATCAGGTTTACTATGGTATAATGTACATACAATGAAATCCACCCTTTTCAGTTATCCCATTCTATGAACTTTGGTAAATGCATAAAGCCGCGCATCCACCCCCACAATCGAGACATGGTATATGGCATCACTGCCAAAGTCCCTCTGTGCTCCCTTTGTAGCTGACCCCTTGGCCTCCTCTCATCCCATCCCATCCCTAGTGTGTTTTCTGTCTCAGTCTGTTTTGCCTTCTCCAGAATGACAAACAAACAACGTCATCAGGTGTATTGGCTTTTGAGTAGGACTTCTCCACTCAGCGTGGTGCCTTTGAGATTCAGTCCACGTTGTTGAGTGTATAAGTAGCCTGTTTCTTTTGATTGCAGAGTACTACCTTATGGTATGGATAGACCACAATTTGTTTATCCATTCACCAGTTGTGAACATTTGAGTTGCTTACACTTTCAGGTGATTATGAAATAAAGCTGTGAACATTTGCATATATGTTTTTGTGCAGATGTATGTTTTCTTTTCTTCCCACTTGGGAGTGGGCTGGCTGGGCCGAATGGTAAGGAACTGTCAAGCTAGGATCACAAGAATTCCATATTATGCATTCTCACCAGGACTTAATATTGTCATTTAGAAAAGTATTTTAGTCGTATTAATAACCATGTAGTGTTATCTTACTATGGCTTCATTTTGGATTTCTGCCATCCAAGTACTAACCAGGCCCAACCCTGCTTAGCTTCTGAGATCAGACGAGATCGGGCACGTTCAGGGTGGTATGGCCGTAGACTTCATTTTGGATTTCTCTAATGATTAATGATATTGAGCATCTTTATAGGTGTTTCTTTGCCTTCCATATATATATTTTGGTAACAGGTCTATTCGAATCCTTTGCCCATTTTTATTAGGTTGTTTATTTTCTTATTACTGAGTTGTGACAGACCTTTATCTATTCTGGAAACTGATCCTATATCAGATACATGGTTCAAAAATATCTTCACCAATGATTTAGCTTTGTCTTTTCATTTTCTTAAATGTCTTTTTGAAGAGCAAAAGTTTTTAATGTTGATAAAGTTCAATATTTCAATTTTTTTTTATGGCTCATGCTTTTGGTGTCTTCAAAAATCTTTGCCAAACTCAAAATTACCAAAATCTCTCTCCTGTGTTTCCTTCTAGAGGTTTTAAAATTTTACATTTTACATTTATGTCTATGATCAATTTCAAGTTAATTTTTGTAGGAGGTAAAATGTATGTGCTATGGACTGAATTGTGTGCTGCCCCCGTTCACATGTTGAAGCGGAACCCTCATTGTGACTGTATAAGGCCAAGAAGGAGGCATTTAGGTGAAATGAGGTCAGAAGGGTGGGACCCTGACCCAGAGAGTTAGTGTCCTTATGAGAAGAGACACCAGAAAATTCGTTCACTCTCTGTATGCACTCAGGGAAAGACCATGTGAGCACACAGTGAGAAGGTGACCACCCTACAAACCAGGAGGACAGGCCCAGGAATGAAACTTACCTTCCTGGCACCTTGATTTGGACTTTCAGCCTCCAGACTGGGAGAAATAAATTTCTGTGTTTAAGCCACTCAGTTGTGGTTCTTTGTTATTGGCAGCCCAAGCAGACTAAGACACTAAATGTCAAGATTTTTCCCTTTTTTGGATAGTTGTCTAAATTTTTCAAGTACCATTTGTTTAAAAAATAATCTTTTCTTCATTAATTGCCTTTACAACTTCATCAAAAATCCATTGGCAATGAAGTACGAGTCTCTATTGTGTTCCACTGACCCATGTTTCTGTCCTGTCACCAACACGATACACCTCAATTGACATGCTTTATAGAAAGTCTTTGATCCAGGTAGAGTAAGTTTTCTTTGTTCTCTTTTCAAAATTGCTTGTTATTCAAGTTCTTTTGCTTTTCTAGATACATTTTAGAATTCGTTTGTACATTTCTACCTAAACCCCTGTTGGGATTTTGATTGGGTGAACATTTATTCTATTGATGAATGTGGGAAGAACTGACATCATGACAATATGGAATCTTCCAATGCATGAAGATGATGCAGTGCTTAATTTTTAGATCTTCTTTGCTTCTTTCAATGTTTTGAAATTTGCAACATACAGATCTCACATATATACTTTTTAGAGTTATCCAGCAACAAAGAAGTACTTCATGTTTTTGGTGTGATTTTAATGGAACTTTTTCCGATTTAAATTGTTAATTGCTAATATATAGAAATACATTTGCTTCTTGCACACTGACCTTGTATCCTGTCACCTTGCTCTATACTTGTGGATGGTTTAGTAACTTTTTTTAATGGCTTAAAACAACAGAAATTTATTATCTCAGTTCTGGAGGCCAGAAGCTCAAAGTCAGTGTCAGCATGACCGTGCCTCCTCCAAATGTTCTAGTGAAGAATACTTCCTTGCCCGTTTCTAGATGTTGGTGGCTCCCAGCCATCCTTGGCATTCCTTGGCCCATAGATGCCTCCATTTTATTCACTTTTTCTTAGAGTCTTTCAGATTTTCTCCATAGATAATCATGTCAATTGTGAGTACAGGCAGTTTTATTTCTTCCTTTCCAATTGGTATGCCTCCTATTTCTCTTTCTTAACTCATTACAATGGCTAAGACCTAACATATGATGTTGAACAAGAATGAACAAAACAGCAGACATCCTTCCATTGTTCTTGATCTTAAGGGAAAAAGAGTTAGTCTTTCCCTGTTAAGTGTGTCATTCACTGAAGGATTTTCATAGATATCCTTGATCAGATTGAGGGGGCTTCCATCAGTTTCTACTCTATGCAGAATTTTTAAAATCATGAATAGATACTGAATTCTTGTGAAATGCTTTTTCTGCATCTATTGAGATGATCATATAGTTCTACTTCTTTGATATATCAAATTATATTGATTGATTTTTTATACTTGAACTCAACTTGCATTCCTGGGATAAACCCTACTTTTGTCATCAAGCAAACAGATATATATATACAGCCAGACTCAGTCTGAGAAAACTGGGTGGAATATTTTTGTGTCTACAGTCATGAGGGATACTGATCTGTCACTTTCTTTTCCTATAACATCTTTGTCTCATCTTGGTGTCGGAGCAATGTCAGCACACTATGGTAAGTTGAGAAATGTCCTCTTTTTCTCTATTTTCTGGAAGAGTTTATATAGAGCTGGTATTAGTTCCCCCTTAAATGTTTGGTGAACCTCATCTATGGAGCTAACTGGGCTGGGGATTTTCTTTGTTGGAAGGCTTTTAACTATAATTTAATTTCTTTAATAACTATAGTGCTACTCAGATTCTCTCTTCCTTTTTTTAACCCACTCAGGTTATCCATTCTTGAATGAGCTTGATATTTGGTGTCAAGGAATTTTTCCATTTCATTTAAGTTGTTGAAGTTATTGACAGAAAGTTGTTCATAAAATTTCCTTGTTATCCATTTAATGGCAGCAGGACCTGTAGTGGTGTTCTCTCTTTCATTCCTTATATTGGTTATTTCTATCTCTTTTTCAGATTGGTCTAGCCAGAGGTTTCTTAATTTTATTGGTTTGGATTTTAACATGATCATTCTAGCTGTTCTGTTGCAGGCAGACAAGTACAGAGGCAGACCAGTCAGGAAGCTACTCTAAGAATCGAGTCAAGACCAAAGAGAGAGGGGCTTGGACCAGGAGCTAGCAGTGGGAGAGGACAAAGAAGTGATCATATTCTGGTATATTATGAAGGTGGAGTTAAGAGATATGACAAGAGATCATATATGGATCAAAACTGGGAAAGGATTTTAAAAAAAAGAAAGAAAGAAAGAAAGAGGAGGTAAGAATGACTCCTGAGGTTTTTGTCTTGAGTGACTAACTGGAAGAACAGAGTTTCTACTGATGGAGACGGGAAAGATCATGGGGAACAAGTGGCGATCAAGTTTGGGCAAGTGAACTTTGGAATGCTTCCTGGGCCTCCCAGTGGAGATAGTAAAAATTCACATGAGAATGCAGAATGCAGGTCTGGAGTCCAGGAGGAGGCCTGCACTAAAAACACAAAGTTGGAATTCCCTGTATTTAGAGCCATGAAAATAGGTGGAATGACAAACGTGGCAAAGGGAACAGTCTGAGGGGCACAGTGATATTCAGAGAGTGGGAGACATGAGAAAACAGAACAGGAAACATCAAAGGGATTCAAAAAGAAGGACAGGACCACGGAGGAAGGGCTGAGCCGCGGGCGGACGCGGCCACGGAGGAAGGGCTGAGCAGCGGGCGGACGCGGCCACGGAGGAAAGGCTGAGCTGTGGATTAGGTAAAATGAGGACCGAGCAGACGGAGGTCACTGAACAGCTCAGCAAGAGCGACTCCAGCAACATTGCAGTGGAAACCCACCTGCAGACCTAACAAGAGAGACCAGACAGACAATACAGACCAGTCTCTCAAGGAGTTGTTCACGAGGAGGGGAAGAATAAACATAGGGAAGCCAATGGAGGGAGCAGAAAACCTTTTAAAGATGGGAGAGATCATACCTTGTTTATATGTTGATACAAAGAATCCAATAGGGAGGAAAAACTGACAGGGCAAGAAGCAGGGTGCAGAATTTCTGGCATGACATCTTTGGGTAAATGATGAGAATGGGACCTAGAGTGTAAGGGGGGCAGGGTATGGGACTGGCCTTGACTCATCCACTACAAACGAAATGGCTGAGATCAAGGGCTCGAGTGCAGCCAGGAGGGTGGTGTGGGGGCAGAGACAGTGCAGATCCCCTCTGGTGGCTCTAATTTTTCTAATTTTCACAGGAGGGTGAAGGCGGAAAGGATACACTGGAGGTTTATTCTCTCCTAGATTTGGCACAGGCTATGCAGTCCTATCAGATAGCTCAGGAGAGGACCTGACAGGACCCGGGGTCACTACGGGGAGTGGACAGAAGGCACACAGACGCTGCACCCTGGAAGGGTGCTACCTCATGTGAACCTATGTTCTGCCGTCACATGCTCTGGGTAACCTGGACAGGTCATTTAACCTGCACCTCAGCTCCCGCACATGAAAATGGGATCACTACAATGCTCAAAGGCAGGGTGGTTATCAGGGGGTAAGGTCAGTGCCCAACAGAGGCGTCATGAGCAGCTGTCCTTGGTCGTCTCCAGACAAGCCTCCTCACCCCCCTTCCCTGCACACCCACCTGGGGGTGGCTCTGGAGTGAGACTGCCCGGTCCTGGCTTGGTGCCCTCCCCAGATGCTGCCTTGCTCACCTGGAGTCAGCTCGATCTCCAGTGCAGTCCGAATGAGGGCCATCAGCGTGGACGTGAAGTGGACGGTCATGTCCTCATTGGAGATGGGCATGTTCATGCGAACCAGGAGCTAGAGACAAGGGGAGCAGGTCAGGGCCAGGCCTACCAGGGTCCCTCCACCAAAGGACTACAAGGTGCTGGAGGCCCCTAGAGGCTGGGCTTTGCCTCCTGGGGGTGGCTTCTGCAGGCGCCCAGGCAAAGTTGGGTGGCTGGGAGTCTTGCCAGCATTCACACTCACCCTTGGACCACCCCCCGCCATTGGAGCAGTCCCTCCTTATCCTAGCTGCAGAAAAATAGAAGTCCAGGTAAATATTGTAGCATAGCACCAAGCCAGAAGCCTGGATCCCTCTGAAAGAACAGGCACATGCTTAGCCAGAAGGAACCCTACCCAAGGCTGGAATAAGGGGCATGAGGCCTGGTCTGAAGAGGGAGGGATCTTGGCTGCAGAACAGAGGCGAGGCACCCTGGGATGGCCCACAGACTGGAGGGAAGACCCCTGTCCTTACAGCTCTGCCCAACGTCATCTCATCCACCAGCAGCCTGGAGCACTGGACAAGGGGCGGGTTAGCCAAGAGCACAGATCTGAGCTCCCACTCCCAGTGAGGCATCCCTTCACCCCAGGAAGGCTTCTGCCTCTCACTGCCCAGTCAGGGGGCTGGAAGAGGCAGCCAGCACCTTCCAGTCAGAAGGACCCAGAACAGATGGTACTGCACAGGGCCAGAGTGGAGGCTGGTAGGGAGAGGCTCAGGGCCATTGCACAGGAGTAAAAGTACTTCGGACCAGACTGGGGGCACTGCCCTGCTTCTTTGCTCCCTGTTTCCGCATCAGGTGAACAGCCCCTTTCCTCTCCTCATTTTTCAAGGACAGAACAGCAGGAGACAGATGTGTGTCTGTACCACAGACCTCCGGGTATAGTCACCAGCTGCCCAGAGCCTGAGGCTCTGAGAACTTAGGTGATGTCCAGGAAGAAAAGTACCCTTGGTGTGTCTGGCACGGTCTCAGCCTGGGAGGTCACCTAGCTGACCAGGTAGAGCCCTAGGGGCACTGTGACCCACCTGTCTTCTCTCACCGCTCTCTTGTCATCTACCATAAGACAGAGCTAGACAAGGGGGCACAGGGCCCCTCCCCGGGTTGTGCCTGTCCTCTGCCAAGCCCACATCCCATGACAGAGCAGCCTCTCTTCCCCTCTAGGGAGGGACCCCAGCCCAGCCCCCAGTGTCTGGGCCCTAGATCCAATCCTCGGCCTAGTAGAGACCAGGTGGCTAGAGAAACCAGCCCAGACTCTGCCCCCCTGAATGCTGGTGAAGCCCCACCTGGCACATCCAATCGCAGTACCAGGACCTCACACATCACCTTTGTGATGCACACCAGGAAAATCAGCTTTCCAGAGCACAGGGTCCCTGTAGACCAGCACCGATGGCAGGAGGAGAGGCAGAGGGATTCCTCTCCAGGGAAGTCAGGAAGTCGGGTACCAGCCTGAAGGGGGAGCAAGCAGGTGATTTCCAAGAGAAGAGAGCTCTGTCCACGGCACCTTCACCAGAGGCTCTCCTCTGCCTGTCCAGGCCCTAGAAGGGCAGGGATCTCAGGAAGCGGCAGAAGGACAAGGCCAGGGTAAACAGACAGGCATCTCTGCCCTGGGCCTAGGACCTCCTGGTCATAGCACTCAGAGCATCTCCTGGACCCTCCCCAGCTCCCCAAGCCCATCCATTCCTACCCACCCTGAGACCTCCCTTGGCCTATTCATGACCAGAACCTTGGAACTGGCCAGCACAGCTGGGGAGGGGCCCTAAAGGCTAGCCCATCAGAGCTCTGCATGCCCAGCCTGGCCCCAGGTATCAGTGTGGACAGAACTCTCCTCCTTGGGAACAAAGCTACAGTCTTGCATGCAGCCTCAGGCAGGCACAACATGCATGCCAGGCAGGGGAGGGCTGAGGAGGACAGCAGAGGCATCTGCCGATGGCCTGAAGGAGCCACTTAGATTCCAAAGGCTGTGCTGAGCCAGGTGACAGAGGCAGGCCCAGATTGAGAGCACAGAGACAGCGCGGACAGAACCAGAGAGAGGAAAGCTCTGCTGGGAAGCTTGCTCAGAGAGAGGGCGGTGGCAGAGAGGCTCCAGACACATGCTGGTGGAGCCGCATGACTCAGGCTGGCTCTGTTTTCTGGGAGCAATGGGAGCTGCAGGAGGGCTCTCGGTGTGGGGCAACGGGTGGGGGGTGGTGCTGGAGGGATGGTAGGTGCCTACACACCAAAAGGCACATGGGGCAGGTGGGAGCAGGCTTGGGGCTGGGCCATGTGACCTGCTCGCCCCCCAAGGAGGGAGGCCTGGAGATGTCCTTCAGTTTACCCCCTCCTTGCCGCTCAGCCTCCTGGGCTCCTCAGCGATGGAGGGAGCATGGGACTACCTGTCCTTACCCTGCAGCAGTCTCTGAAGCCCCAGGAATGACAGCAGAACGCCTGTCCCTGGCATCGTTTCCTTCTTAATGCCACAGTGCCTCCTTCCCGCTGTGGAACTTACAAAGCCCTGAGATGCTGCCTCCCCAGGCTGACAGCAGCCCAGACCTGGGGAAGTTCTGCATGTGCAGAGCTGAGTGGGGGTTCCTCAGAAGTGCCAGAGGCCCTGCAGGCCCCTATTACCCCAGGCTCAGACCCAAAGGGCTGGATACCTCCACCCTCATCAGGTGCTTATGGGACAGAGAAGCTGAGTGCAGTTCTGAGCCCGGAACAAAAACAGCTTCTGTTAAAAGGGTGGTCTGTCCCCTCATTTCCGGGAAAGAGAAGGGAAGGAAAAAAGGCAGGTGGAGGGCTCTGGCTCCGTCTTCCTGAGCCTCTCAGGGGCTCTCAGAGGGGGCAGATCTGCGGGCACAAGGGGCGGGTGCAGATACCATCATGGTATCTGTGTCCCTCTGTCTGGGAAGGTAGAGGACATGGCTGGAGCAGAGAAAAGGGAGAAACAGTGAGACAGCAGAGCGGCAGACAGATAGACGGACAAGCCCCGAGAGGAGACGGGAGACCAGCCCCAGCACAGCCAGCCTCGGGGTGCAGGGTCGGGGTCTACCTTGTATGCAACTCGAGCAGGGCAATTCTCCCCCAGCCTCAGGGGTGGGGACATGTGTTTCAGCATCTCAAACATGTTATTGTAACTGATGCGCCCACTGGAGACCCGGCCCAGAGAGGCAGAGGCAGGGTGGGGTCCACAGGAAGGGGTGCGGCGGGAGGGGGGTGGGGGGAGGAAACAGACAAAAAAACAGATCCAGTTAACTAGCATCAGATTACATGCCAAAAGTCAAAATACGTAAAATGAGGGACTTCTCTGCTTGACTCGATCCCCTCCTTGCCCCTCCCAGCCTCACCTCCACACTCCAGCCCCACGCAGGGCAGTGGCCAGGGGTGACATCTGCGCTAATGAAAATGGAGGGATGAGGAAGGGCTGCATCGGGGCGGCTTTGGGTTGTCAACTTCTGATTTTACACTTTTAGAAACCACAGATAATGCCAAATCAGAAGAGCTGTTTCACCATGCCAGGAGAGCCGGCAGACAGAATTATGTGACTGATGAGGCCGGCCTGAGAACCACGGCAGAAACATAGCTTTCCAGAATGCTCAATTTGCTTCCAAGTTAGCCTAGAGGCTAAAGAAGTGGTGAAAACTCTACAACAAGCCAGAAAACTAGAGCTGGGGGAGCCCCGAGGCTCTAGAGACAAACTTGACGGGTGAGTCCTGCTCCAAGCCCAGAGATGCCCGAGGCTGCCCAGGGCGGGGCTGCTGCGGGGAGTCAGGGCTGGGCAGGAAATGGGAGATGGGTGGGGGGGTGGACAGGGCAGGGGCGGGTGGGCAGCTGGGGTGGGGTGTGGCTTGGAGCCACTCTTGCACCCTCCTGTCCACACCAGGGACAGGGCTGGCCCCAACACACGGGACAAGGCTGCGGATCCAGGGAGGTGTCTGGGGGCCGATGACTGTGTCTTCCGAGGTAGACAGTCCACCAGGCCTACAGCCTCAACTCCACCCCTGGGGACACCTACCTATGGGACCTGCTTGGGGTCCCAGAGACGAGGTCGGGTTCAGGCCACCCAGGAGAGAAAGGGGACATCTTTTTCCTGGCAGGCACAGCTGCCCCAGGGCCTGGCCCTCCTCCCAGGGTTCCCAGCCTTGGCTGAGTGGATCGATCCAGAGGTGAAGCAGGAGGGCCCATCTTTGGGCCTCCACTGCCTCTGTCTGCGCCTTGCTCGGGGACCAGAAACCTCTCGGTTGTCAGGCTCTTCAGACTGGGAGGGGCCGCTCCTCCTGGTCTGCTTGTGCCCATGCGCTCCTCCTCTGGGGCCCTTGGCCTCCAGCCTGTCTGACCATTAGCCCACCCTGGAGAGCCTGGAGGCAAAGCCGGAAAGACAGCTGTTTCCTCGGGCACAGGCAGGGCCTGGCCCCCAGCTCCCACCCAGCAGCCGACCCCTGCCCTCCAGGCCCAGCCAGCAAGCTTCATGTACACTGCCTCAGAAGGTGGCCTCTCCCCAGCCAGCGGGAGGGGTCGGGAGATCAGATGGGGGACCAGAGCCTCCAGGAGGTTGGAGTGCGGGGCGGGGCAGGGCAGGAGGAAAGAGAGGTGAGGTGTCCTCATTCCCAAACCAGGCAGGGAGTTTGCGCTGTGTTTGCATTTCAGGCAGGGAAGAGTATGTCGAAGGGAGGCTCTGAAGTTGCAAACCTTGTAGGCCAACCTACGAGGGCAGTTCTTCCCTAAGCCGACGGGTGGCGCAATACAACGTAACAAACTGTGCATATCCTTACAATGAATCAGGCAACTGGAAAGGAAATGTCACAGGTTATGGCAACCAAGGCACGATGAGCCCGTCCCGTCCGTCCACCCAGGCTGCTACAGGAAGAGGAGCCGGGCGGCTGCACAGGCAGCTCCCTGCAGGGAATCCTGGGGCTCAGAAAGCCCCGGGAGGCAGGGCAATCCCAAGACCATTTCCAGAGCCTGACGCGGGCAGGAGGCACACCATACAGAACCAGCGCTGGCCCCTGTCGCAAGCCCCCACTGTGCACGCACTGGAACCACTGGTCCGCCTCCCCCCGGGTCTTGTTCACCCACCCTCTCTGGCAGCCCCTGCTCTCGCTCCCTGAGTTCCGGAGACCCCACGCCTGGCTCTCCTGACCGTCTCTACCTCCTGCATCTCCTGGAGTCTGCTGGCCCGGCTAAGGACACCCTAGTCCCAGGGTGGGCATCCTGGCCAACACTGACGTTTCTCTTTCCTATCCAGTCAGCTCCAAGTGACTTCTGCAAAAGGGGGAAGAAAGAGGAAGCCCCACTTTGGCCTCACCCAAGGTGCTTGCTAACTCACTGGACCTAAAGGTTCATGACGAAGGGTCTGGAAGCATGGTGAAGCCCCCAGCCCCAATAATCACCCAACCCAATTCACGGCCTGTTCTCTGGCTCATCTTCTCTCTTCCACCATTGAATCCATCAGACAGCACCAGATGGAAAGTGGGGGCACCATACTGTCACTGCAATGCAAAAAACTGTCCTCGCTGTCTATAAAGCAAAGTCAAAGCTCCTTGTTTATCCCAAATTTCAAGATCTTCTCAACCTGTCCCAGCCGCCCTTCCAGCCCCTTTGCAATGCGTTCTCTCCTCCATCAGACACAATCAGACCCCCTTCCCTTCAGGCCCGGCCCTGACCTCTTCTCTAGAGCTCAATCCATCCTGCCCTCTTCAGTTTGGCTCAAATGCCACCTCCTCTGACTCACCGGCCAGATGGGGTTTCTCCCTCCTCGAACACCCCGGGCTCACACTATGGTTCCTCTGTTCTCCCACAGTCCCATTGGACTCAGCATCCCGAGAGCACGTGCTTGCTTCACCTACACACCCCTGGTCCCCAGCACACGGCGGATGCTCAGGAATGTTGACTGGGCAGATGGATGAACACAAAGATGAGTAGACAGATCGCTTACAGGTGTGATTGTGATTCTCCTCTCGACTCTCTACCCTTCACCAAGTGAGGCAACGGGGAAGATGGGAGTAGGCGGCACCAGAAAGCAACAACCCCACGCCTTCTTCATCTCCCCACAGCAGGCATGTGTGCACGCACATGTGCACATACATACCCATACACACCTGCGTTCACACACATGTGCACCCACGAGCATGCATGCCCGTGTACACATATGCACACGTGCATTCACACACACGTGCACACATGCACTGCACTCACACATCTGCACACAATCACGTGTGCACGTGCGTACGTTTACACACAAACCATGTGCGTGTGTGCACATGTACACATGTATGTCTGCTGCACATTCACACACACGTGCACACAAGCACACACAGCACACACATGCACTGCACTCACATTTGCACACAATCATGTGTGCACGCTCGTACGCGTACACACAAACCATGTGCATGTACACCCATGCACACACACGTGCACACATACACTGCAATCACACATTTGCACACAATCACGTGTGCACGCTCGTATGCATACACACAAACTATGTGCGTGTGTGCACTTGCACACATGTATGCCTGCTACACATTCACACACATGCACTGCACTCACATTTGCACAATCACCTGTGCACATTCGTACGCGTACACACAACCCATGTGTGTACGTACATGCACACATGTATGTCTGCTGCAAACATGCATGCATGCATGCCACATGTGCACACAAACACACCCATGCACATATGCAACACACACACGTGTGTATACTTGTACACACACCCACAGAGCCATACACACATATGAAAGCTTGGGAAATTTCACAAAGTTTTGTTGTTCTTTAAGTCTCTCCAAGAACGAGGAGACAGCAGAGTGGCCACCTGGGATATAAAGCGGACCACATCCCTACATCTGCCACGGAGGCTAGGAAGGGCTCAAAGCACCCTCGGTCCTGTGCCCAGGACTCAGTCTCCTCAGCTGCCTCTGCTGGGCCTTCCCCTATGCCCTGCCATCTGGAGGCAGGCTATGTTTTCAGCCCAGGCCACATGTGGGAGCAGCAAGTCTGAGTGTTAGTTGCGGGTCACATTTTTGCTACTTTTGGACCATGGTCTTGTGTGCTATTTCACAGATGCCACCTCTGGGGTGACACTTATATTTGTCGTCTACTCTTCCACAGCACTTTCTTTACTCCACTCCCAATAGCCCCTGCCTTCCAGAGGCCCCATTTTCAGAACTCTGGATTTGGGAAAGAGTCTGAGCACCCTGTGCACCATCACAAAACCACAGTCTGGCCCAAGTCCATTTCCTGTATGTCCAAATTCTGCTCCACCTGTGGCTGGACTAGGGGAAGCCCTGGGTCTACAGTTCATAAAGATTTGGGGGAAGTCCTCCCCTCTCACAGGCCTGCACTGACTTGCCTTTGTCCTGCACATATGGACATACTGCCCACACAGCATCTCTGCTTCCCTGCAACACACCCTTTC